GAAGAAAACATCCAACCCCATCCAAAAATGGGGCAATGAAATGAACAGAAACTTTCTCAAAGAAGAAATCCGAATGGCAAAAAAGCACATGAGAAAATGCTCTACATCATTAATCATCAGGGAGATGCAGATCAAAACCACAATGAGATACCATCTCACACCTCAGAGACTGGCCCACATCCAAAAGAACAAAAGCAACCGATGCTGGCGTGGATGTGGCGAGAAAGGGACACTCCTTCACTGTTGGTGGGAATGTCCACTGGTTCAGCCTTTCTGGAAAACAGTATGGACGATTCTCAAAAAATTAGAAATTGAGCTCCCATTTGACCCAGCAATACCACTCCTGGGAATATATCCCAGAGAGGCAAAAATGTATAGTCGAAGTGACATCTGCACTTGTTTGTTCATTGCAGCGCTCTTTACAATAGCCAGAAACTGGAAGAAACCTGAATGCCCAAGAACAGAGGACTGGTTAAAGAAACTTTGGTACATCTACACAATGGAGTACTATGTAGCTGTTAGAAAAGATGAAGTCATGAAATTTACATACAAGTGGTACAATATGGAAAGTATCATGCTAAGCGAAATGAGTCAGAAAGAGAGGGATAGACATAGAAAGATTGCATTCATCTGGGGGATATAAAGTAACAAAGTATGAGATTAATACCCAAGAATGGCTGAGATCAGCACCAGGAGGATTACTCCATAACTTAGAGGCCAGCCAGGTATCCTAGAGGAAAGGGCAGTTCAGATAGAGAAGGGAGCACCAAATAAAGGATGTTTGGAGGATCCTCCCAGGAGAGGAGATGCATGTCGAAAGTAGACTATGGACTGAACATGTTTGCCACTCAATGCCTCTTTTGCAGACCACAACACCCAAAAGGAGAGAGAGAACACAGGGGATTGCCCTGCCACAGAGACAGGGGGGATGGGGGGATGGGGGTGGGAGGGATATTATCCATGGTGGTGGAAAATGGGCACTGGTGGAGGGATGGGTATCTGATCATTGTATAATTGAAACCAAAGCACAAAAAATTGTAAATCTACAACTTTTAAAAAATAAAATAAAATAAAGGGGAAAAAAAATAGTGTATTCTAGATGTGTTTTCAGACCTAAATTTTACTCCTACAGATTTCTGTGTGAACCTGTACATTATTATCATCTATGGCCTAGTCTCACATGGCTCAGACACTATCCCTAGAATTATGTGCCCATCTTGCCTGAATTCTTAGCTTTATTCTTCTGTTAAATTACACTTAAAAGAAGTTAAATGATTAGAATACTTCCTCCGCCCCTCTCGGAGAGCCCGGCAAGCTACCGAGAGTATCTTGCCCGCACGGCAGAGCCTGGCAAGATCCCCATGACGTATTCAATATGCCAAACACAGTAACAACAAGTCTCATGATGGAGATGTTACTGGGCCCACTCGAGCAAATTGATGAATAACGGGAGGACCATGACCATGAAAATATATTTTATATTCTTGAGTAAACATTTTCAACATTTCAACAGGATTTTTGGAAGTCTAAAGTCTATGATCAAGTACTTCTCCTAAGTCTTCTGACTTGAAATGTACTGAATATAAAATTTATGGCAAATTTTTAGATGAGGCACCAAAAAGGTAAGATGTTGCATTAATAACGATTTGGCTGATTACAATTTGGAACATTAATATTTGTGATACATTGTATTAAAGAAGATATATTTTTAGTTGGTGCCATCTGTTTCATTTCTTCCTATTTTAAAAGTATCTTTTTGGGTGTTAGACAAATAATACAGCAAGTAAGGTACTTGATTTCTATGCAGTCAACCCAGTTTCTATCCACAGCGACTCATATAGTCCGAGGAGTACTACCAGAGGTGTGATTTCTAAGTACAGAGCTAATAATAACCACTGAGCACCACAGGGAGTGGCTCAAAACACTAAATAAGTAAAAAAAAAAAATACAATTAAAAGAGTTAAAGAACAAAAATCTAACACTTTTTCCACCTGTTTTTGAAATATTGAAAAAAAATTAGACCTCTGAGAGCTGGTGCCACTCTGAGTTAATATAAAGAATCAATTAAAACCATAGTCCCATTCTTCCAGTCCTTTGGTTCATCCTGTTGAACTGTGATGCCTTAATAACTCTTAATGGAATCAAATTCCTCCTGAGATATCTTTAAATCCACATTATTTGGTTAATGTGAATTCTGATGTTTGTGAAGCCAGGCCAATAATTGAAGTGGTCAATTACTGTAACTCCCCAGTGATTGGGCTCCTTGTCCTCCACAAGTTTCAAGATTGAAGGGGAGTTACCCACAACAGTTCAATCAAACACTTATATCTTGGTGCCTTTTTGAGAATGATACAGATCTGCTCTTTAGGGGTCTAAAAATTCCTCCACATAAATGTGAGAAAGCAAACTAAAACCAGGCCCAAATATCCTAACTTGTAAATAAGGTTTGTTCGTTTTCTATGCCAATTCTCATTCAAACACAATAGTAAAGGTCAAAAAGCAAGAAAATGTAAGAATTTATTTGTAATAGTCTCCAATTTGAGATTTCAGCAAAACCATTTTGGAGCCAATTTGAAATAAATGGTATCATTATACCCACATTTCTTCCCTATTCAATACCATGTATCACTGTCATTCTGTTATTCATCTATTTGCTGGAGCGGGCACCAGTAATGTCTTCATTCGTCCTAGCCCTGAGATTTTAGCAGCCTCTCCTTACTCATCCTTCCCAACGGTGCTGCATTGGAGGCTCTTTCAGGGTCAGGGGAATGAGACCCGTTCTTGTTACTGTTTTTGGCATATCAAATATGCCATGGGAGATTGCCAGGCTCTACTGTGTGGGCAGGATACCCTCGGTAGCTTGCCAGTTTCTCCAAGAAGAAGAACTAGACTATTAGACAATACCAAAGGAGTGATAATCAAATCAATGAACACACACAGAGTGTCTAAGCAACTTATTGAGGCAACAAATGCTGGCCAAACTGAGAGGGAAATTTGAACATTTATTTCATCTTCAGTTTTCATTATTTTATAACTTTTACTATGCCTGCCTTCTAATTCTTTACAAGAGTTTCATGTAGTCTCTAGAGAGACACACTAATCCCACAGACATTTTGACAAGGGAATCTATTTCTCCTCAGAGTCTCTTTTCTCAAGGTATTTGAATGCTTAGTTATAGCCCCAAACCCACAGTTCCTGGAATGAGTCTTATACTGACAGCATAAGAACCACAATGCTGCCTATCTCCACTGCCACCTACTGGGAGACTTTGCCAAAGAGTCTCCTCTGTTTTCCCCAAGAAGCTCCATCTTCCACTTCCACAGTGATTAGGAACACACATTTAGTTTCAAGACTTGCGCTATCTAGTTCCCTGCATGGAATGTTAACCCCATCCCTCTCACTCTTAACCCTCCCACCCTTCCTTTAGGCCAAGTGCTAGCTTTTCTCTAGTCTCAGTATGCTCAAGTTTTCAGTGGGTGAAGGTCCTCTTGTATACTTTATTCTCATTTGCTTATAGATTTTGGGGGGAAGGAGAGAAAGGGGATAGGTTAGAGTCATGATCAGGGGTGCTCAGGTCTCATTCCTAACTCTGTGCTCAGGTATCACTCCTAGAAGGACTTTGGACATACATAGGATTTAAAAGAAATTTTGTTGAGCTGCTTACAAGACAAGTGCCCTACCCATTGGCTGTGTCTCTAGTCCTGCCTGTGGTAATTTAATGAATAGAAATTGTATTTTATTTTTGTGAACATTTCTTGAAATTATACTCCTAGTGAAGGCAGCTGTAATAGGGAAAGGATCACTAAGAAAAAGAAGGCCGGAGGAATCGGTCGGGATGAGAGATATGTGCAGAAAGTAGATAAAGGACCAAACATGATAACCTCTCAGTGTCTGTATTGCAAACCATAATGCCCAAAAGTATAGAGAGATTATGGGGAATCATGTCTGCCATGGAGGCAGAGGGAGGGTGGGAAAGGGGGGTTATACCGGGGATATTGGAGGTGGGGAATGTGCACTGGTGGAGGGATGGGTGTTTGATCAATTGCGTGATTGTAACCTAAACATGAAAGCTTGTGACTCTCTCACAGTGATTCAATAAAATTTTTTTTAAAAAGAAAAGAAAAAAATAAATTATGCTCCTAGTATATCTGTTATTTGATAAGAATGAGATTTAGTTAACGAGACTTACCATATATTTCAAATCTGCTAGGACAGCATATTTTTAAAATTCTCATCACAAGGGAGAAATTTTGTTACTATGGGTGGTGATGAATATCAATTAATCTCATTGTAGTAATTACTCTGTTACCTAGAAACAGACTGGCCACACCTAGAGCTGCTTGATCTGTAGGGACAGATAGGCCACACCTGTATCTGCTAGATCTGTTAGGCCTTAGAACTAATCCTTGCCTACCTGAATCTCAGTAGAGTCAAGAAACCTAAGCTAGGAAGAAATTTAAACTCTCTTGGATTAAGAAAAAAGATGTGAGTAGCTTCCACCTTCCAAAAACACCATTTTTTCGACTTTATCAGCAAACAAATTCAAGAAAAAAACAGAAAGGACAAAAGCAGTAAGTTCTATTAAGGATAGACACCCAAGAATCCCAAGACATGCAGGCACTAGCTATTTAACAAGACAGTTTATTAAAGAAGAAGAACACTTAAAATGGGTTAGCTATGAGAGCATGACTTGGTGCACTGATATTGCACATTTTTATAAGAATCACATGCTTGTTCATATATCACATTTTACATATTTAATTAGCATCTCATTATGCAGCCGAGGGGCATATGAGTTGATATATATTGGGGTTCATGAGAAGAAAAGTGAAACAGCCAACATTCTGTTCTCTGAGTCTGCTTCAGTAACTGGAACTTGTTTCTCAATCTCTTTATCAGGAAGTTAGTAACTACAGAGCCATCAAAATCTCAAGGTTATTTTTCTTCAATGCATGAAATAGTTTCTTTTTTTTTTTTTCACTGTTTGGTCGATAGATTTATTACTGTCTTTGCAAAATCTCCACAAAAAAATCATGGTTGATTTTAACTCTGCCACTCCTGAGCTCTAAGAAAACTTGTTTTCTCTGGGCTACCCGATCTTTCTTCTGGGCAAGAGACATTTGGGGACGGTTCCACCTCTTCTTTTTAACTTCTCTCTTAGGTTTCTTCTCATAAACAGGATTGGCCCATATAGCCACATGAGCTTTCTTATACATATTCTCCATCATATCTGGAGTTATGTTGTTCTTTATGTACTGAGAAAACTGTTTCTTGTAGGCATCTTCATCTTCTTCCATTAGGTAACGCATATACTCTGCAACGTTCTGCCCCATAATGTGTTTCCGATGCACTTCAGCATTGAATTCCTTACTTTCCGAGTCATAGCCAGGGAATCGTTTGGTACTGTGAGGAATAGGCAAGCCTCCATTCGCAGCTCCTTTCAAAGCCCCAAAGACTTTGTTTCCAGTAGTAGTTCTGGCAAGTCCTGAGTCCAAATAGCAGGTGAAGGCGCCAGGTTGTCCATCAATGCTTTCCACATTATATTCGTCTCCAGTTACCTCCACTTGGCCTTTATAAATTTTGTCCATGCCAAATCTATTCAGAAGCCTGCGGGCCAGCAGCAGACCAGTACAATACGCTGCAGTATAATTTGTCAAGCCAACCTTCACACCATACTTTGGAAGTTCATGAGCATATGCCGCACAAACTATCATGTCTCCTTCTATACGAGCATAATCTATCTGGCAAATGATGTCTCTGTTGGTGACATGGACGATCATCCTGTATTTTGGTCTATTGTATTTATTTTTATCCTACACTACCAAGTGTTTCTGAGCATAGTAATCAGTCTTGCCCCTTCTCCGTCTTCGAAATTTCATTTGGTATCTCTTGAAATACGCCTTATTCTTGAAAACTTTAACAAAACCCATCCTGCAGAACAGATGGCCATCCGCGGCTTGACACGGAGCCACAGACCGAGCAGCCCTCTGGGAGGAAGAAAAGCTGAAATGGTTTCTTAAAGCAGTTTTCTACATTGTTGCTCCTGTAACAATTTCATAATAGATGTGTGCAATTAAACATTATGTTGTATACCTGAGACAAAAAATATGTAAATTACATCTAGATTTTAAAATAAAAATATAATTCAAAATTGGACTTTTTAAAAAATTTTTAAATTTTTATTAGTGAAACACCATGAGGTACAGTTGTAGACTTACAAGTTTTTGTGCTTGGGTTTCAATTATACAATGATTAAGTACCCATCCCTCTACCAGTGCCCATTTCCCACCACCTTGGATCCCAGTATCCCTCCCACCCCCCATCCCGTCCATCCCATCCTGCCTCTGTGGCAGGGCATTTCTTTTTGTTCTCTCTCTCCTTTTGGGTGTTATGGTTTGCAAAAGAGGCAATGAGTGGCAATCATGTTTGGTCTATAGTCTATTTTCAGCATGCTTCTCCCATCCTGGGAGGATCCTCCCAACACCCTTTATTTGGTGCTTCCTTTTCCATCTGAGCTGCCTTTTCCCCCAGCATGTGTGGCTGGCCTCCAAGCCATGGAGCAAAATTCCTGGCACTAATCTTGGCCATTCTTGGGTGTTTGTCTCCTATTTTGTTACTTTATGTTCCCCAGATGAATGCAATCTTTCTATATCTCTCCCCCTCTTTCTGACTCATTTTGCTTAACATGATACTTTCCATGTAGTACCAGATTTTTTTTTTATCACACCCGGCAGTGTACAGGGGTTACTCCTGGTTCTACACTCAGGAATTACTCTGGGAGACCATATAGATGCTGGGGATTGAACCCGGGTTGGCCAAATGCAAGGCAAATGCCCTACCCACTGTATTATTGCTCCAGCCTCTAAAATTGAACTTCTAAAAATGATTTTCTAACCTGAGTATCTGTCATAAGTGGCATAAATGAATTAAACAAGCAAAAACTGGACTATAGCATTTTTATTCCACAAGAACACTACTAACATGTACACTGAGAATATTTAACTACCTTCACCAACATGGGTCATTTCATAAACACGCAATACTTTTGTACAGTTCCATTAATGCAAAGATTCAAATTTGGTTCAAACTGATCTATGATGTTGGAATGTAAAAACCTTTGAGAAGGAGGCAGAAAGATGAATAATGAAGTTTTATAAGGGCAGCATTCCGTTCTTCCCCTACACAAGGGAACCACTTTGACAATTGACTCATACACTTATGAAGTGCACATTTTTCTGTAGGTGTATTATACTCCAATTAAAACAGAAAAGTTGAGAAGGCTCTTGAAAGTGACTCAGTGGCTTAACAAGCACCTAGGCAAGTGTAACACTAGAAGGTCAGTCTCCAATATGACCAAATGCACTGAGATAATCCTGACAATTCCACTCTTGGGGACCCCTGGCAAAGAAATGAAAAAAGGCAAAGGTTGATAATCTTGGGCCAGGGAGATAGTACAGCAGGCCAGGCACTTGCCTTGCATGCAGTTATCCCCATCTGTGTAGAATGATGACTATAATGATAATAACCTCCTTCTGGGAAGCTTGTTAAATAATACGCATTAGGTACTTAGCATAGGGCCAAGGTCACGGTAAAAGATTAGGAAAGATAATTTAATTACCTCCCCACTAAAGTATCAGGAACTGTAAAAACAGAGCATGATCCAGATGCCCCTAGAGAAAAAAAACGAAGTTTGGTTTGAGTACCACTAACCTGGATTAGGCAGATTAGAAGAAACAGTGGGAAGGAACAGACAGGTTGTTTAATGAAAGGATTCTTTACAAGGTGATTTGGCTCTAAGAACAGTCCACACAAATAAAACACTTTCTCTGCTTCAAAATTTTTCCTAGAATTGGCCATGGTATTTTGAGAAATAAGAAGTGGGGATGACTTGCTTGTAAAAGTCACTTTTATTAGAAACATCAGATTGTCTTCATTCTCAGAGCTGACAAATGAAATGTAAGAAGGACCTTGTCTTTGACACATTCTGGAACAGACAGCAGAGTAATCTTTTATAAGTCTCTAAACAAATGAACACCAACCTTTCTGGGTCATGATGGTATCCTGGGATTTGCCACAGAAATGGAAGGATGTAACAAACTTTAAGTGAAATAAATGGATCTCTTCCAAACAACTCCCAGATGAGCCAGGTGAATGGGATCTGTATTATGGGATGTATATTAATACTTTATGAAAAGAATCATAACCCTTTGCCACTTGGAAAATATGAAACCTTTCTGATCAAATGGTGGAAGCAGGGTATTATGTAAATTAATACTTTGCATGGAGCAAAGGTAAAGTTTCTATCACATTTTAATAAACATGGTACATCAGTTGAAAGCTGGAAAATCATTTTTATTAACTTATAATTAATTAAGTGATGTTTTATGAATTTTATTGTAAAAATATTGCAGTATATGAAAGACAAAGTGAATAATGTTTTTTTTTGCTAGTTCTCAATACAGATTTAATATCACCCTTCCAGCTTGTCAATCAAGAGTACTGAATAAACATCCATTGTAAGTTAATTTGAGTTATGTAGAAGCCACAGTTTCCACAATCTTATAATGAATAAACAAGTGTGAGAATGGTAAAACCATGTTCATTATGATCCTATACCAAAAGAACTCAGAAGGAACCTTGGGCATAAAAATTTCAATAAAAAGAAAAAAAGTCCTACAGAAGTTTACTCAGTTCCTACCATAAGTACTGGCCTTACTATGAACAATGAGATAGACAAAGTTGAATGAAATCAATTGCAATGGAAGTGAGTAACATAAGCTAGTGGGAACTAGTAGAGGAGACAGAGAAAAACATCAGTAATTCTATTATGAGGCTCTTAAAAATCAAATATTGTAATGGAGATAACAATGTCATTCTTTGGAAACATTTAAAACACTTGATTACTTCCACAGAAGTGGGAAGAAGAGAACCGATATTGAAGAATGTGGAATTTGAAAGGGGACTTTAAACAAACAGGAGTATTCCGAAGCAATGTAAGGTTTAAGAACACCCAATTAGACTGGAACTGGAGTGATAGCACAGAGGGTGGGGCATTTGCCTTGCATGCAGCGTGACCTGAGTTCGATTCCCAGCATCCTTTATGGTCCCCCGAGCATGGCCAGAAGTAATTCCTGAGTGAATGAATCAGGAATAACCCCTGTGCATCACTGGGTGTGACCCAAAAAGAAAATAAAAAAAACACCCAATTAGAATACTCAATGAAGCAAGCTCTAGAAGTAGGATACATAGATTATTTCAGGAGAAAGGAGCTGACTGTATTATGAGGTCCTTATGATTAAAAAAAAATTGATTCTTCCAACACCTTGCTAATATATGGCAGAAGCTTGAGAAATATCAAATAAATTGATAAAGTATTAGGTGATAGACATAGAATGAAAAAAGGTAGATGAGGTCAAGAAAGCAAAACTTGATTGCCTAGTAGAAAACTTTAGACCATATTTCAAAGGGAGTATCTGAAAAATATATGGAAGAGAACAATTCAACTATATGGTACATAATGGGTGAGAAGAGGGGGAGGAGAATGGTAGAAGTAAATTTTTCTGTTTATTTCTATCAACTGAGTTTATTCTCCCGAGAGGTGTTCAGAGGGGTGGGGGTAGTCTACTTCATTGAAATATAAGAATGCAGCCAAAGAGCTAGCTCAAGGGACGAGAATGCATTATTTGCATACTGGAGTTCAGGGTCCTATCCCCAAAATCACATGGTCACCTTAGCACCATATGAAGCAACCCTCAGCACAGAGATGGGAAGAGTCCACAGAAACATTGAGTGTAGATCCACCTTAACCCCATATGCCCTCTACAAAACAGAAAATATATGAGTATTTTTTAATTTGAGTTTGGGCCCATACATCACAGTGTTTAGAACTTACTCCTGGTTCTGTGCTCAGGGATTGCTCGTCATGCTACTCAGGGAACCGTTTGATAGTGCAGGGATTTATCTGGGTTGGGCCACGAACAAAGTAAGCAACCTTACCTCCTAATCTATATTTCTAACCCACCAAAATCTAAATGATACAACAGACAAAGAGGTAAATCATCATGATTTTTTTTGTCTGTAGTTAGATTTGCTCCACTATATGTTCAAATTTCTCAGAATTTAATATAATCTTCTTTTAAAATGAGATAGTTGTGTTAATGTTGTGAAAGAGGGAATAAAATAGATTAGCCTATTTGACGATATGAGAAACAAAAAAAAGAATACATTTTTAAAAGCTAAAAAAAAAACCCTGCAAATCACATTCATTAAAAATCCTAGCAATAAAACACACAAAAGTATGAAGTGAATTTTGAAAGATATCATTTAATTTTTTAATATTATTTTTGTATAGTAAGAAAAATTTTAAGAAATCAATAGACAAATGATTTTTAAAAGACTGAACTAAGAAATAACTCAAAGGAAACAAATCTAAAGGGCTCAATCTGAAGAGGAAGAGAAAAAGACATTTTAAAACAGTGATATGCAAGAGGAGAGACAGTACTGCAGATAGTGCATTTGCCTTGCATGCAGCCAACCTGTTTTTAGATCTCCAGCATCCTAAATCATCCCTTTAGGAACACCAAGAATGATCCCTGAGTGTAGAGCCAAGAGTAAGCCCTAAGACAGTTGGATGTGGCCTCAAAACCAAAACAGATGAATAAAATAAAACAATGAGATGTCAATTTCCATCTCTTGGAGTCATGATAAAGTGTGCTTTAATGTTAATAGTCAACTCTCTCAAGGTTGCAATAAATCGTTCTGCTTACACATTGTTATGGCAATATTAATTGACAATACTCTTAGAAACCTACTTGACAAAATATAACAGAGGTCATAAGAACTGTGAATCT